ATTTATGATATTTTTTGAGACACTAAATCARCAAAAAGGCATGTATGGCTACATTTATATATTTTCCTGACATCCGTCGTAAGACGTCTTATGAAGCCTTGGAGGACTCACAATTTCGTATGAGTGATAAACGCACAGTAGTGATTACCGCACAATACAATAATTTTATTAAGCAATCCAAAATGGCTTTTCATGCCTAATTTACAATAGTTTCCAAATTTACATAAGTACAAACTGATAAAATTACAATGACGATTAAGAGTAAAATTTCCTATTTATAATAATTTACAATAATTATAAAAAATTACAATTATTATTAAAGATACAAATACTAATGGATAGGATCATGACATCATGTATCTTAAAGATCTCTTGAAGGACTTAAGTGAACTATGTTCTTTCGATATCTTTAAGTCATTCCACAACTTAAGCGCCCTGAAGAAAAAGGAACGCTGCGCGGTAGAAGTTCTGCACATAGGAATATTAAGATTGTCTTTATATCTCATGTTATAGGTATGTGATTCAGATCTTTTGCTTATCTTTCCACATAGATATTGTGGGGCGAGTCCATTCACTATTTTGAAAACTTGACAAGCATCCCTTAAATTCAACTGGTTATTGATGGATATCCAACCTAGCTCTTTTAGAACGATTACCGGACCTGGCCTGCACAATTTTTGTGAACCAATTGGGCACTAGAATTTGGTTACAGTACGATTACATTCACAGTACAGTACTGTCAGTTTCCCACTCATACGAAATCCGCTCTATTAGGAGACTACAACGGAGGTTATAGACTATGCACTCGTCAATTATGAAACTCGACCCATAAAAAAAGACCAAAACAACAATAACAACAACAACAGAAAAAAGCTCAACAAAAACAAACAAACAAAAAATAATCTAACACTGGTTTAATATAGCATCTGTGCATGGACGACAGGGAATCGGGAGATAAACAAAAGCCTAAAACAAAGGAAATATAGATGTGTTTTATCAAAATGATGTCGGAGCATGAGGGCAAATGCTGTTGTTCGTAACACGCTGTTTACTGAATGATCCCTGCATTCCTCCGATATTGCCTGCCCGGGGTTGGCGAGAAGAGGTGTGGATCAAATAGTGTATAGTCAGATCAGGAAAACAGTTAGAGTTGAATGATAAGTTAATAACGCATTGACAAAAGACTCACATTTTTAATTTCTAATTACTTGTTTATTAGAGAAGTCAAAGAATACTTCCAAAACACCTACGATGTATACGAAGACCTGTTTCGAGGAATAAAAGGTGAGCAGATAAAATCTACCGTCACGATCAGGAGCGGCCGCTTTTGTGTCAGGATCCTAGTGCGATTTGTGCTCCCGGTATTACCGTGTCAAGACCGAAGATGCAGCGACTTTATTTTTATTTATTTGTTTATTTCTATTTTTTCAACTCNAAAAAACTAAAAAGATGGGACGATTCCCCCGAGACATTCTATGAAGCTGAGGCGTCGAATCGGCTTACGTTACGGTTAGAGATTTCGGCTCTTCCACGCTATCCCGAGTGAACATAAAACTTAGTCTTAACCAAAAGGCCAGGGAGTGAGGGGGTAGCCGCCCACTAGAGCATACCTKTAGCTACCCTCTTAGACCATCGTACTATGAAGRCACTTATAGATATCTAATACCTAATTGGGGTAGTCTATTCGGTGAAGTTCTATGCTAATATAWKACGTCATCAAAATCCTTAGGGAGCTGCGAGCCAATCAGAGCTCAGCTCAGAAATTAACAAATRATAYAGTGTTTGCATAATCAGTCTTCAGTCAAGTTATCATTGTTTTATGGGGGGTGGGGAAGGGTGCTGGTTTGCCGCCGAATACCGATGTTTTCGATGTTATGTGACGGATTTCACCGAGCTGTTCAATTGTCGTTATTGTTTTCCAAATCATCACAGGAAATKGTGTAAAGTTCTTATATCAGACAGACATTACTAGTATTCGGATAAACAGCACGRCAAGATATCTCAAATTCTTACCGTAAGTTGTTTACAGACAATTGAAGAATGCTCTGAAACTCCAAAATTACACTCGAATTACGTTCCACATTTTCGTTCTTGATGAATTTAAAAGTATAGAAATGTATTAATATTGATTATCAAATATTGCTTTATTAAACATAAATATARTTAATTCTAATAATTGAAAAGGTGATAATAATCCGAGTATAAAATTGATAAAGAAATGAAGAAAAACTTAGCAAGCCTTCGGTTTAATTGCAAAACTATCATCCGGCAAATGAGAGTAACATGGATGAAGAATACAAACATTCTATCAAAGAAAGCGTTCGATAATTTATCATGAGTTTATAAGTCAAAAGATGCAGATGCAGATGCAGCCTTTAAATACAGCTACATTGAAGCTCTAAGGACTCCATGTCGTGGATGAAAATTCATTTTCCGATTCTTTCAGACAGACATGTTTACTGTAGGCATGGAAACAGGGCGCCCCGCGTCTGTCCCCCACGGAAGGAATGATCAACCATCACAATAGGTTCCTTGGCTCCTGGGAATAGCGKCTTCGATATGAGAATCGCGGGTTCGATTCTCGACTCGAGCACTTCTTTTAATCATTCTTTTTTCTTCCTTTTTGTTTTTGACTGTAAAGTATACTTGTCCTTTGTTCTTTATTAAATGCGAAGTGACCTTCCGCCTTTTAAATTCCCGGAGTACAATACAATCCGAATGCTAAATTTTCGCTGCAATGATAAAAATATTCGGAATAAACGATGAAAAGATATACGAAGAATCTATAAATTAATCACGGTGTCGTCAAATATATATTCCAYGGCAAATTACAGCTAACGTAACCTTGACATGGCGTGTGTTCCTGGTTCTGGTTGTCATTTGGAAGAGAGGGAGCACARGGATCCCAATATGAGATAGTGAGCTGAGTTCTCCACGGGTGATCTTCTTTTCTTGCTAAAAACCGAATTAAACAAAGATTGTCATAAAAATAGAAAACATTTAACTATAGTARAAGTGCAAGCCTTCATTCTGATCCTTACCACATCTATAGTTAGATTCACTGGGAGAACCATAACGCTGGACACACCGCACGGGGAGGCCTGTGTAGCTTAACGATTCAATAGACTTCTGAACCTTTTACGTCACTACTTGATTTTCAATGCATTGTGGGATCAGTTTCAAGAGAAAACAAAAGAAATYCGCCATGTTCTGTCCCAAACATATCCTACAATGCATTGCGAATACGGTACATGACGTAARAGCTGCAGAGGTCTKTTAACTTTGATATTTTCAGACGAAGAAGCATACTACAAGTACCCAGACGCTCTTCGTCTTCCTTTGATTTTCTATTATGGACACACAGCCTCGGTATACATMAACAAGCTGATGTTAGCTGGTCTGATTAAGGTACAGGAAACAACAAAATCTTAATCTTCTGGGGCACTAAAACCTATTGCCAGTTCAGGATTGCTGTGTGAATGCACAGATGGAGCTGGGTTCTCCAGGAACTGCAGTGGTTTTCCTCCTTCAAACAACATACGATATTGCCCTTAAGTTAGTAACCCCGTCCCCCCTTCCCCCAGGACGTTTACTCTGTTTGAGGAATTGATGATGTAGATTCAGTGCACGAAATTTACAAGAGTCTAGAAAAGCTGAACGGATCGGAAATTAGCAGAATATTGCATAATTACGAGTWTTGAAATCATCAGAAGCTCTATTTCTGCTCTTAATTGGCTCTCAATTGTCTTYAAGGAACGAGTCAATTTTGAATATGAATCCTTGTTTGAAACTGGCGTTGACGAGATGTCCTGGGATGACACGGTAAGTACCTCACACATAAATGTAACTTAATTTAAAAACTGAATTCACAAAAGCCATTTTTCTCGCAATAAATTATCATTTATCAGTAGAATAGGGAAGTGCGCGCATTCTAAATTTGCAAATGAAGCGATGYGAGTTGTATTTCCCGCCTTTTCCAACCGCATTTTTCACCAAACTYTATTTGTTTAGCAAGTTTAAYTTTTGCTTGTATTACTTGTATCTCATTTTTACCTAAGATCTAAATCTTATTCTTTTGCTAATAAGGAAAACTACCGTATGGGGGACAAGTTCGTTTGGCCATCTCTAGATGACGTACAACGATACAGAGATGACGTACGTGCCCTGATTTTGAACTTGATCGAAACCAAACCCATGGAGACACCAGTCACGCAAGACAGTCCCTGGGTAAGTGTGTGCATCATGGGATGCTTTTTATGTTTTGTGGTCTTAGTTYTATTTACTTTACTTTTTATGTTTACGCAAATTCTTCCAGTGGTCCCTGTTTATGGGAATGGAGCACGAAAGGTTAGATTACCAAAATCTCTGCTTCTCTTTTGTTTTTTTTTTTCTTTGTGGTATGCTATTTTCCATCCATTTCTATGGGAAACAGCATCATCCAACTTGTCGCACGACATCACTGCTTTTCAAACTTCAATTTTGCAACGATTTTGCACGACATCACTACTTTTCAAACTTCAATTTTGCAACGTTTTTGCACGACAAGTTGGATGTCATATTTTTCGTATTTTGGTTCGCTTTAAAAGTAACATCATCAGTTTACTGGTGACAGCTAACTTACAATTGCGTGAGGATGATTGCCACGATACGATTTGCGTGGCATGGTTTAAGTCAATTTTTTTGAACAAACTTAATTTTTGAGCATTTTGCTTTCAAAGGATCCATCTTGAGACGTCATCAGTGTTGATCCGACAGCTGCCAATCAAATACGTCGAGAAGCCACCTAATTGGACGTATGGCCCACTAAAACCAGGTAACAATYATACCTAACCGTACTTATTACGCTTTCTCGTACACATATTTYTGTATTTGTAGCGTTTTCAATGATTTAAAAAGCATTTTTGCTGTTTTTGGATTTGGAAATCTCCGAATGTGTGGATGTGATTCGCAACCATAAAGCATAAAATAAAATAAAAAAATAAAATAAAATAAAAATCCCGATACACAAAAAGTGTCATCGTCGTGTAGACAAGGCCACAGGTAACCAAGGCTGACCATCAACCAGAGTATCTGGAAGATTTCACTTGAAGTAATCTCATATTGTTGCTTTCTAAAACACTGATAATGATGAATAAATATCAACAGGAAAAATGGATTTCATTCTGCTCTCTTAGAGGCAGAAGAAACTAAAAACATAATCATTGGCTGGAATGACTAACCTTTTTTCCCTATTTAATGAATATCAAACCTCTGAGCTGTACTCTCCTGGTGAAATATTGCTTCTACAAATAGGTTTGGGTTCGTTTTTCGACAATTGTCATCAAAGTCGATTATTCATGCGCTGACTTGGTAGAATACCTATCCGAAACTATAGCCAACCAACTAGAAATTTGTATTGCTCGTTTTCAATCATTCCTATAGGATTCAAAAGATAAAAGATCGGTGGCCAGGCTGCGTGGTTTAATGAGTTATTAAGTAATGGTCCGAGTAAGAAGCAGGCAAGCAAACGGCAATGGAATGCATGAAGGTGCTAATTTTGTATTGTATAATCCAGCYATCTCATTRRTTAAAACATWAAAATCTGRCATAATTTCAAAAGTAATCGCATTTTTTAATATTTTATTTAATATCTGATTATAACTTCATAAAAGCTTTCCTTAGCTTTAATATTAATAGCAATTCTATGTGAGGAACATAGCAAATTAGAAGCATCTTTTGGCTATTGTTTTGAGTGCTTATGTTTGGACAAGATCTTTTAATACAAAAGAAACTTTGTTTCAAAACAGAGTTTATCCACATTTTATTTTAAAAGTGTGTTACCCATAGGTTGATACATAATCAGTGTKAAAACCAAGACATTCGTATGTGGGGAAGTTGCAATTGCCGCAGAACAATAGAAAGTTGCCTGCTTTTTGCGCGCATTGTTACTTAAACAGAAATAATTTGTTCAAGTTCAACCAAGAGCGTATATTGTGACGTGTATTGCACACGAAGAATTAAACGGTTTAAGAATTGTTTTATTTGAAAAAACAATACTATAATCATTAAATAAAATGTCTTCGTATCAATAGACAAGCCAGTTAACAAGAATTCAATGTTGCAAGTCCATAATAAGAAAGTGATAATCGGTAAACCACGTGACTTTCCCTCCTATGGATGGGACAATGAATACGGCCATTGGACTGTCAGGTATGTCACCTGCTAAGGACCCCAAAGAATTCGATTGTTAGATTTGTAAGTTCATTTTGTTTGGAAACTGAACACTTATCCTCTTGGGTGTATTTCTTCGCCACAGAGTACCCGAGTTTGAAGCGTCCAAGTACCTTATAACCAATCGTGAGTTTCTCGAGTTTGTGAACGATGGCGGATATCAAAACAAAGAGAATTGGTCCAAGCAAGGTATCATCACTTATTAGTGTCTATTACAACGTAGTTATACWACTCATCATCTTTATAACATTGTCAACTTTTTCCGATTTTTGACGTTGTATTAGTTTCCTCTCGAAGTCGTTATGAGGATCCTTCCCAGGATTCTCGTCCGTATGGTAAGGGTCAGAAGGGAGAGCGASAGGATACTAACGTTTTATAAGGTTTCGGCCCTCTCAGTCCTAGAATCCCGAAAGCTTTGATTAGAAACTTGGAATTCCAGAAAAAAATATGTTAAAGTCATTATTAGTGGTCGGTCTTCCAGTTTTAGTCATTATATAGTCATTCTATAGTCATTAACACGGCTATCATTATCATAACTATAGCTATCCATTACTATCATTATCATCTTTCTTATTGTCGTCATTATCTTTGGATTAAGGTTGGAAATGGCTGACGTTCCGGAAAGCAAAACACCCCACATTTTGGGTCTGTAATCAAGCCTGCAAGAGTGGGTGTGGCAGTGATTTGTCGAGCTACTCACACTGTTGCCAAGAAACAGATAAAAATCAAAATGGTTTTGTCTCCATGGTAACAAATGGCCACCTGAATGCCTTCGGTGCTTATTACAGGTGTGTCTGAGTGTCTTTCCTTTGGCTGTCATACTATTCAAACAGTCTGCCAATCAATCAATCAATCAACAATCATTTGTCTTGCACTGTAGATATCGTGCAACGTTTGACGTCATCGACATGCCTCTCGACTGGCCTGTAGAGGTTAACTTCTACGAAGCCAAAGCTTACTGYACTTGGAAAGGATCTGATTACAGATTGTTAACCGAGGCCGAATACCATGCTATTAGGGGACCACAGGTACCTTATTGTGTTATTGAAAAAAAAACGGAAAGAGGTATCTTTATTTTGTCGTAAAATATTACTTTTTTGACTTTTTTTTATATTTTAAA